TGCTTCACAAATCCACTACAACCCCTCACCTGTCTCCTTGCTTCACAAATCCACTACACCCCTCACCTGTCTCCTTGCTTCACAAATCCACTGTACCCCTCACCTGTCTCCTTGCTTCACAAATCCACTACACCCCTCACCTGTCTCTTGCTTCACAAATCCACTACACCCCTCACCTGTCTCCTTGCTTCACAAATCCACTACACCCTCACAACCTGTCCTTCCTTGCTTCACAAATCCACTGTACCCCTCACACCTGTCTCCTGCTTCATCCAAATCCACTATACCCCTCAACCTGTCTCCTTGCTCACAAATCCACTACACCCCTCACCTGTCTCCTTGCTTCACAAATCCACTGTACCCCTCACCTGTCTCCTTGCTTCACAAATCCACTGTACCCCTCACCTGTCTCCTTGCTTCACAAATCCACTGTACCCCTCACCTGTCTCCTTGCTTCACAAATCCACTACACCCCTCACCTGTCTCCTTCCTTCACAAATCCACTACACCCCTCACCTGTCTCCTTGCTTCACAAATCCACTACACCCCTCACCTGTCTCCTTGCTTACAAATCCACTACACCCCTCACCTGTCTCCTTGCTTCACAAATCCACTACACCCCACACCTGTCTCCTTGCTTCACAAATCTACACTACACCCCTCACCTGTCTCCTTGCTTCACAAATCCACTAACACCCCTCACCTGTCTCCTTGCTTCACAAATCCACTACACACCCCTCACCTGTCTCCTTGCTTCACAAATCCACTGTACCCCTCACCTGTCCCCTTGCTTCACAAATCTACTACACCCCTCACCTGTCTCCTTGCTTCACAAATCCACTACACCCCTCACCTGTCTCCTTGCTTCACAAATCCACTACACCCCTCACCTGTCTCCTTGCTTCACAAATCCACTACACCCCTCACCTGTCTCCTTGCTTCACAAATCCACTGTACCCCTCACCTGTCCCCTTGCTTCACAAATCCACTGTACCCCTCACCTGTCCCCTTGCTTCACAAATACACTGTACCCCTCACCTGTCCCCTTGCTTCACAAATACACTGTACCCCTCACCTGTCCCCTTGCTTAAGAAATCCACTGTACCCCTCACCTGTCCCCTTGCATCACAAATCCACGTCACTCTTCACTTCACAGTCCCACTTATCACTTCTAGCGGGGTTTGCATCCTGTTGTTGACTCGTCCTGACCAAGAGGTGATGTATCAGACAAGTTTAAATGTTCACTTCCTTCCCACTCTTGACACTGAAGGAAAAAATCCGTCACTACAGCTCTGATTGCTTTCTTCAAGATTTTTTTTTTTTTTAAGTTTTCACTTATATTGTCGTCTCATGGAACACTGGAACAGTTGCTATGGAGGTCAGTTACTTCAGTGTAGTGGAAAAATTCACTTGTCTGGTCGTACGTCTGGTAGCAGGTCAGGTAGTTGAAAGCCGGTCATCCTCTTTTGGTCACTACAGGTTCCTTGTACGCTGTTGCAGCAGCCATCACTGGAGCTTGGACATGCCCGGGGCACGGCAAACATATAGGAGCATCAGTTGTTACTGCTGCCGCCTGCCTACTTTACTGAAAGTGAATGACTGACTTATCAACAATGACTACATAGGAGTTAGAAAGAAGTCCATACTAGGCAAGTCCTCAAACCCACTACAAAAATATTTTCCCAACATAGGAGTTAGAAAGAAGTCCATACTAGGCAAGTCCTCAAACCCACTACAAAAATATTTTCCCAACATAGGAGTTAGAAAGAAGTCCATACTAGGCAAGTCCTCAAACCCACAAACAAAAATATTTTCCCAACATAGGAGTTAGAAAGAAGTCCATACTAGGCAAGTCCTCAAACCCACTAACAAAAATATTTTCCCAACATAGGAGTTAGAAAGAAGTCCATACTAGGCAAGTCCTCAAACCCACTAACAAAAATATTTCCCAACATAGAGGTTAGAAAGAAGTCCATACTAGGCAAGTCCTCAAACCCACTAGCAAAAATATTTTCTCAACATAGGAGTTAGAAAGAAGTCCATACTAGGCAAGTCCTCAAACCCACTACAAAAATATTTTCTCAACATAGGAGTTAGAAAGAAGTCCATACTAGGCAAGTCCTCAAACCCACTACAAAAATATTTTCCCAACATAGGAGTTAGAAAGAAGTCCATACTAGGCAAGTCCTCAAACCCACTAACAAAAATATTTTCCCAACCAGTTTTAATTTCACACAAGGATAACTCAATTAAGATAACAGGCGTAGCATTTATGTAACAAGAGACGTGATTAGTTCAGGTCCAGAATTCCTGTAATTGATGCAATTACGTTTCCAAGACGCGAAACATGTACATTAGTTGCTGAAATTAATATAGTAGCTGCTTTAGTTAGTACATTAGCCGCTGAAAGTAGTACATTAGATGCTAAAGTTAGTACATTAGTTTCTGATGTTAACACATTAGATGCTATAGTACATTAGTTGCTAAAGTTAGTACGTTAGCTGCTGGAGTTAGTACATTAGCTGTTGAAGTTAGCATATTAGCTGTTTTAGTTAGTACATTAGCCGCTGAAATTAGTACATTAGTTGCTAAAGTTAGTACATTAGCCGCTGAAAATAGTACATTAGATGCTAAAGTTAGTACATTAGTTTCTGATGTTAACACATTAGATGCTGTAGTACATAAGTTGCTAAAGTTAGCATATTAGCTGTTTTAGTTAGTACATTAGCCGCTGAAATTAGTACATTAGATGCTAAAGTTAGTACATTAGTTTCTGATATTAACACATTAGATGCTGTAGTACATGAGTTGCTAAAGTTAGTACATTAGCTGCTGGGGTTAGTACATTAGCTGTTAAAGTTAGCATATTAGCTGTTTTAGTTAGTACATTAGCCGCTGAAATTAGTACATTAGTTGCTAAACTTAGTACATTAGCTGCTGAAGTTAAAAAGGCGAGACAGGCGGTGCAAAATACCCCCAATGAAAACTAGGAGCGCCATTAGTATATTAAAAGAAAACGCAATAAGCTTCCGGGGCCCAAGACTGTTCAACAGCTTCCCAGAATTACCAATAGACCCCTGATTGTCTTGAAGAGGGAGCTGAACAGATACCAATATTCAGTGCCGGATCAGCCGAGCAGTGATTCGTGTGTTGGACTACTTGTGGCCAGCAGTAACAGCCTAGTTGATCAGGTAGACTCCAGGTAGACTTCAGGTAATGCTCTGATGTTTGGAGCATTAAACAATGTAATGAGAAGTTTTCCATATAAGAGTAGTTGAAATTCCTCTTCACTGAACTTCATATTGTTTTCTGTGGCCCATTTAAAGATTTGGTTGATGTCCGCCTGGAGTCTTGCAGTGTCTTCAATGGAGGTCACTGTCATGGCAATTCAGGTGTCATCCGCAAAGGAAGACACGGAGCTATGGCTTACATTTTTGTGTCAGATATGAGGATGAGGAACAGACCATACCCCCGGCAGGGATTGAACCCGCGGTCAGAGAGTCTCAAAACTCCAGCCCGTCGCGTTAGCCACTAGACCAGCTAGCCACAATAAGATGCATCCAACTAAGTATATTTCTACACCATAGGAAGGTTAGCACAGGCACCTCTGTGACCACAAATGCAAGTTTTTACAGACGAATCTCCAGCTAGCGTGGCCGTGACGAACTCTAGCTCAAGTCCCTTCACTGCCGTCAACATGACGTCACAGAGGTGCCTGTGCTAACCTTCCTATGGTGTAGAAATATACCTAGTTGGATGAATCTTATTGTGGCTAGCTGGTCTAGTGGCTAACGCGACGGGCTGGAGTTTTGAGACTCTATGACCGTGGGTTCAATCCCGGCCGGGGGTATGGTTTGTTTGCAATCGTGTCATTACGATTTTTTGAGTCGTAGTGATGAGGAACAGGATGGGAGTGAGTACTGCGCCTTGCGGTACAGAGCTTTCCACCGTAGCTGCCTCAGACTTCACTCTGTTACTCTTTGTGTTCTACTTGTTAGGAAGTTATAGATCCATCTACCAGCTTTTCTTGTTATTACTTTATCACGCATTTTGTGCGCTACAGCACCATGGTCACACTTGTCGAGAAAAATGAATAAAACTATAAATGAATAAAAAATGAATAAAAATTCATAATGAAAAGCAATAGTAATATAAGAGGGACCTGGGGACGTGAATAAAGAAATGAGAAGGAAACAACAAGCGATGGTATGTGACAAGGTGTCAGAGAGGGTGTATATATCAAGTAGGGTTCCACAAGGGTCAGTCTGAGGACCGGTGTTGTTTCTGATATATGTGAATGACTTGACGGAAGAGATTGATTCAGAGGTGTCCATGCTCGCAAATATGAAACTATTAAGAATAGCGGCTCGACATCTAAGTAGTTATTCCATCTTGGAATATGTAGCACCATTACGGACACCACAAATGGTCAAGAACATTAAGGAATTAGAGGAAGTGCAAACGTTTGCAACAAGACTAGTCCCGGAGCGATGGGATATGTCTTACAAGAGAGAGTTCAACCTGACGACACTAGAGTACATGATATTAAAGCATAAAATAATAAAATATTCAGACTAATTGACAAGGTGGACAGGGCCAGAATATTTCAGAGATGGGACACAGGAACAAGCGGAACACAACTGGAAATTGGGAATTCAGATGAGCCATAGGGATATTAGGATAGGTATTTCTTCAGCCTAAGAGTTGTCGGGAAGTGGAACAATCTGAAGAGTTATGTATCGATACATAGCTTTAAGAATAGATACGATAAAGCTCATGGAGCAGGGAGTGTATGGACCTAGTAGCTACCAGCAAAAAAGCGAGGCCAGGAGCTGTGACGCGACCTCTGCAACCACAAATAGGTAAGTACATACACCCACACTCACCCACACACAAACACCTACACACTTACATACCCTCCAAACACACTTACACAAACACCAACATCTCACTTAATTTCCTTTAATAAACCAGCCAGTGTTTCTCTGTGTCACCCGCAGTGCATCACAGCCTGACTGATCAACATCAACATCATGAAGGGCTTCATTGTAATGGTATTGACTGCTGCTGTTTTGCTGACTGTTACTGCTAAGAATTCCCGGGAAAGAGGAGGAAGAGGAGAAGGAAGAGGAGGAGGAAGAGGAGGAGGAAGAAGCAATGAAGACCGTCGTTCCTGCATTGGTAAGTATTGTTGTAGAAGTTACGTTGTTGTAGTAAGTCTTGAAGGTTGTAGTAATAGTTGTATTGTTGTAGTAAGTCTTGAAGTTTGTAGTAATAGTTACATTGTTGTAGTAAGTCTTGAAGGTTGTAGTATTAGTTGTATTGTTGTAGTAAGTCTTGATGGTTGTAGTAATAGTTGTATTGTTGTAGTAAGTCTTGAAGGTTGTAGTAATAGTTGTATTGTTGTAGTAAGTCTTGAAGGTTGTAGTAATAGTTGTATTGTTGTAGTAAGTCTTGAAGGTTGTAGTATTAGTTGTATTGTTGTAGTAAGTCTTGAAGGTTGTAGTAATAGTTGTATTGTTGTAGTAAGTCTTGAAGGTTGTAGTATTAGTTGTATTATCGTAGTGTAGAAAGTAGTACTAGTAAAAGGAGAATTATCGTAGCAAATGTTGAAGTATAAGTTACATTATTGTAGTAACATAGGTTGATTAATTAGCAATATTAGTTATGATGAATTAGCATTAGTAGCACCAGCTGCTGCAGGGATATTATTAGTAGCACCAGCTGCTGCAGTGATATTAGTAGCACCAGCTGCTGCAGTGATATTATTAGTAGCACCAGCTGCTGCAGTGATATTATTAGTAGCACCAGCTGCTGCAGTGATATTATTAGTAGTACCAGCTGCTGCAGTGATATTATAAAGTAGTACCAGCTGCTGCAGTGATATTAGTAGCACTAGCTTCTGCAATGATATTATTAGTAGCACCAGCTGCTGCAGTGATATTATTAGTAGCACCAGCTGCTGCAATGATATTATTAGTAGCACCAGCTGCTGCAGTGATATTATTAGTAGCACCAGCTGCTGCAGTGATATTATTAGTAGCACCAGCTGCTGCAATGATATTATTAGTAGCACCAGCTGCTGCAGTGATATTATTAGTAACACCAGCTGCTGCAGTGATATTATTAGTAGCACCAGCTGCTGCAGTGATATTAGTAGCACCAGCTGCTGCAGTGATATTATTAGTAGTACCAGCTGCTGCAGTGATATTATTATTAGTAGTACCAGCTGCTGCAGTGATATTATTAGTAGCACCAGCTGCTGCAATGATATTATTAGTAGCACCAGCTGCTGAAATGATATTATTAGTAGCACCAGCTGCTGCAGTGATATTATTATTAGTAGTACCAGCTGCTGCAGTGATATTATTAGTAGCACCAGCTGCTGCAGTGATATTATTAGTAGCACCAGCTGCTGCAATGATATTATTAGTAGCACCAGCTGCTGCAGTGATATTATTAGTAGCACCAGCTGCTGCAGTGATATTATTAGTAGCACCAGCTGCTGCAATGATATTATTAGTAAGCACCAGCTGCTGCAGTGATATTATTAGTAGCACCAGCTGCTGCAGTGATATTATTAGTAGCACCAGCTGCAGCAATGATATTATTAGTAGCACCAGCTGCTGCAATGATGATATTAGTAGCACCAGCTGCTGCAGAGATATTATTAGTAGCACCAGCTGCTGCAATGATATTATTAGTAGCACCAGCTGCTGCAGTGATATTATTAGTAGCACCAGCTGCTGCAGAGATATTATTAGTAGCACCAGCTGCTGCAGAGATATTATTAGTAGCACCAGCTGCTGCAGAGATATTATTAGCAGCACCAGCTGCTGCAGAGATATTATTAGTAGCACCAGCTGCTGCAGTGATATTATTAGTAGCACCAGCTGCTGCAATGATATTATTAGTAGCACCTGCTGCTGCAGTGATATCATTAGTAGCAACAGCTGCTGCAGTGATATTATTAGTAGCACCAGCTGCTGCAGTGATATTATTAGTAGCACCAGCTGCTGCAGTGATATTATCAGTAGCAGCAGCTGCTGCAGTGATATTATTAGTAGCACCAGCTGCTGTAATGAAATTATTAGTAGCACCAGCTGCTGCAATGATATTATTAGTAGCACCAGCTGCTGCAATGATATTATTAGTAGTACCAGCTGCTGCAGTGATATTATTAGTAGCACCAGCTGCTGCAGTGATATTATTAGTAGCACCAGCTGCTGCAATGATATTATTAGTAGCACCAGCTGCTGCAATGATATATTATAGTACCCCAGCTGCTGCAATGATATTATTAGTAGCACCAGCTGCTGCAGTGATATTATTAGTAGCACCAGCTGCCGCAGTGATATTACCAGTAGCACCAGCTGCTGCAGTGATATTATCAGTAGCACCAGCTGCTGCAATGATATTATTAGTAGCACCAGCTGCTGCAGTGATATTATCAGTAGCAGCAGCTGCTGCAGTGATATTATTAGTACACCAGCTGCTGTAATGATATTATTAGTAGCACCAGCTGCTGCAGTGATATTATTAGTAGCACCAGCTGCTGCAGTGATATTATTAGTAGTACCAGCTGCTGCAGTGATATTATTAGTAGTACCAGCTGCTGCAGTGATATTATTAGTAGCACTAGCTGCTGCAATGATATTATTAGTAGCACCAGCTGCTGCAATGATATTATTAGTAGCACCAGCTGCTGCAGTGATATTATTAGTAGCACCAGCTGCTGCAGTGATATTATTAGTAGCACCAGCTGCTGCAGTGATATTATTAGTAGCACCAGCTGCTGCAATGATATTATTAGTAGCACCAGCTGCTGCAGTGATATTATTAGTAGCACCAGCTGCTGCAGTGATATTATTAGTAGCACCAGCTGCTGCAATGATATTAGTAGCACCAGCTGCTGCAGTGATATTATTAGTAGCACCAGCTGCTGCACTGATATTATTAGTAGCACCAGCTGCAGCAATGATATTATTAGTAGCACCAGCTGCTGCAATGATGATATTAGTAGCACCAGCTGCTGCAGAGATATTATTAGTAGCACCAGCTGCTGCAATGATATTATTAGTAGCACCAGCTGCTGCAGTGATATTATTAGTAGCACCAGCTGCTGCAGAGATATTATTAGTAGCACCAGCTGCTGCAGAGATATTATTAGTAGCACCAGCTGCTGCAGAGATATTATTAGCAGCACCAGCTGCTGCAGAGATATTATTAGTAGCACCAGCTGCTGCAGTGATATTATTAGTAGCACCAGCTGCTGCAATGATATTATTAGTAGCACCTGCTGCTGCAGTGATATCATTAGTAGCAACAGCTGCTGCAGTGATATTATTAGTAGCACCAGCTGCTGCAGTGATATTATTAGTAGCACCAGCTGCTGCAGTGATATTATCAGTAGCAGCAGCTGCTGCAGTGATATTATTAGTAGCACCAGCTGCTGTAATGATATTATTAGTAGCACCAGCTGCTGCAATGATATTATTAGTAGCACCAGCTGCTGCAATGATATTATTAGTAGTACCAGCTGCTGCAGTGATATTATTAGTAGCACCAGCTGCTGCAGTGATATTATTAGTAGCACCAGCTGCTGCAATGGTATTATTAGTAGCACCAGCTGCTGCAATGATATTATTAGTAGTACCAGCTGCTGCAATGATATTATTAGTAGCACCAGCTGCTGCAGTGATATTATTAGTAGCACCAGCTGCCACAGTGATATTACCAGTAGCACCAGCTGCTGCAGTGATATTATCAGTAGCACCAGCTGCTGCAATGATATTATTAGTAGCACCAGCTGCTGCAATGATATTATTAGTAGCACCAGCTGCTGCAATGATATTATCAGTAGCACCAGCTGCTGCAGTGATATTATTAGTAGCACTAGCTGCTGCAATGATATTATTAGTAGTACCAGCTGCTGCAATGATATTATTAGTAGCACCAGCTGCTGCAGTGATATTATTAGTAGCACCAGCTGCTGCAGTGATATTATTAGTAGCACCAGCTGCTGCAGTGATATTATTAGTAGCACCAGCTGCAGCAATGATATTATTAGTAGTACCAGCTGCTGCAATGATGATATTAGTAGCACAGCTGCTGCAGAGATATTATTAGAGCACCAGCTGCTGCAATGATATTATTAGTAGCACCAGCTGCTGCAGTGTATTATTAGTAGCACCAGCTGCTGCAGAGATATTATTAGTAGCACCAGCTGCTGCAGAGATATTATTAGTAGCACCAGCTGCTGAAGAGATATTATTAGCAGCACCAGCTGCTGCAGAGATATTATTAGTAGCACCAGCTGCTGCAGTGATATTATTAGTAGCACCAGCTGCTGCAATGATATTATTAGTAGCACCTGCTGCTGCAGTGATATTATTAGTAGCAACAGCTGCTGCAGTGATATTATTAGTAGCACCAGCTGCTGCAGTGATATTATTAGTAGCACCAGCTGCTGCAGTGATATTATCAGTAGCAGCAGCTGCTGCAGTGATATTATTAGTAGCACCAGCTGCTGTAATGATATTATTAGTAGCACCAGCTGCTGCAATGATATTATTAGTAGCACCAGCTGCTGCAATGATATTATTAGTAGTACCAGCTGCTGCAGTGATATTATTAGTAGCACCAGCTGCTGCAGTGATATTATTATTAGTAGCACCAGCTGCTGCAATGATATTATTAGTAGCACCAGCTGCTGCAGTGATATTATTAGTAGTACCAGCTGCTGCAATGATATTATTAGTAGCACCAGCTGCTGCAGTGATATTATTAGTAGCACCAGCTGCCGCAGTGATATTACCAGTAGCACCAGCTGCTGCAGTGATATTATCAGTAGCACCAGCTGCTGCAATGATATTATTAGTAGCACCAGCTGCTGCAATGATATTATTAGTAGCACCAGCTGCTGCAATGATATTATCAGTAGCACCAGCTGCTGCAGTGATATTATTAGTAGCACTAGCTGCTGCAATGATATTATTAGTAGTACCAGCTGCTGCAATGATATTATTAGTAGCACCAGCTGCTGCAGTGACATTATTAGTAGCACCAGCTGCTCCAGTGATATTATTAGTAGCACCAGCTGCTGCAATGATATTATTAGTAGCACCAGCTGCTGCAATGATATTATTAGTAGCACCAGCTGCTGCAATGATATTATTAGT